ATTTTTATTTATTATTATTAGTCTTGGTATTAGTATTAGCATTAGTTTATGTAGTTAATGAGTCATGAGTCTTTTAATTAATTATATTTGTTAACCTAATTGGAGAGTAAAGTTTCAAGCTTCCTTTGATGCACACAAACACACACACACACACTGAAAGATGATTACATGCGAATCGTGCAGCTTCTGGCAACTGGCAGCATATGAAATTCAGAAATTTAATCATCACCTGCACTCTCGCTGCTCACCTGTGCGTATGCATATGCCAATACATACGTATATATGTATGTGTATATGTATGTTTGCCAGCCTCAAAGCAGAATTTGCAAATATACAGTATTTAGCTTATTGCCAGCTCACAATTAGGAAAGCCAGCAAGTGAGATGCTTACGAAGCGGCTGCTAGACTGCACCGCCCATTCATAACAGATCCACTAACTGGGCCAATACGCTGCGTATACACAATGCGCTGCAGCGCGCGCTGGCGGCGTTTCCGCGGTGTGTGTATCCGTTTCGGCTTCCCCTAAAAGTATGCTATGTGTTTATTGTGTGCCAGCGACTACTAGATACTAATCAGAGGAGAACAGCAAAGAGAGCTGAAGCATGAATGGGAGGGAGAGCGTGCGTGTGTGTGTGTGTCTGTGTGTGTGTGTGTGTGTGCAAGAAAAAGACTTTGATGACTAATTGCATAAACTGAAGCGAAAACAATTGTCAACGTTGTTTAAAGTAAATAAATATACCCCAAGCTGATTCACATGAATTGAAAATAAGGAAATCAAATAGAGCTGAATTTCTGCACGGCTTATTCGTCATGCAGAAATGCAAAAAATGGGAAACAAAAGCAAAATCTATAAATGTATATAATATACGAGTTGATGATTGATTTTTAATTGTAATTCCATACGAATGAATTGCCATGTCAAATAACTATTTGGCAATAAAAATATTAAAACACTCGTAGAATTTTATTGATGCTGAAAAGCAGAGAGAGCAAAGAGAGTCTTTTGATCAGAGCAAATACAATTTTTTATATTTTACTAGTATTTTATTTTCTATATATTTTTTAATTTGATAAAATACATATTTATTGATTGTCCTGCTACCTTTTTGGCAACTAAATCTAAAGAGAAAGTAGTTCCTAATATTTTTGTAGGGCACAGAATAATTTAGTGGAAATATAATTGTGAGGTTGTATTATCACGACTTTATGGGCTTACGACTTACGACCCCGTCTAGGAATTCTTAAGTGTGGCGGCTAAGTATGTGAGAGAAGTCAATATGTACAAGTCGAACACGCCCGACTTAGCTATTAGTTCTATTTGCTTTTCCACAAAAAACATAACTGAACTGTGATAAGATTAGGTATTGTTTGACTTATGCATATATTTATGGGCTGTTATTATCTGGGGAAGTGATGTAATTGTTAGAAAAGCCATCTGATGCATATTCAAGGGGCTACTACGCAGAGCAGACGATATGATTGCAGCGTGGGATTGTGATGCCTTCGAGCTATTGAGGTGTTTCTAGTTAAGCGCCAAGCCTAGTATATTATATGAGTTTCTTGGAAATTCTGCTATTGCAAAGAAAAATATTATTAACTCAAAGCACGCACATAAAACACTGCACCACTGCCCCACTGCACCACTGCCCTTCTGCACCGCTGCCCCACTGCCCCACTGACTTTTTCCTTGGCTTTTCCCGTTTACCCTCGCTCGTTTAAATGATATATTAGCGAATACCCTTTGTGGATAATTAATGTATGCATCTCAGAGAAGCAAAGCTCTCGAATGCGTCGCTACAATTAGCTGATTGGACTTTGACCAGGTGGCATTCCGCAACCCGCTTCCCGGCTCACACTTCACACCTCCCGGTCGCCTCAACTCATTCATATAGAGCCGCATGGCGATAAAGCTTATCGCAGTCATTACGTAGCAACTGCTCTGACGAACTTTGATCGCCTGTGTAAAATGTTGAATGTCGTTTAGTTTGCGCTCAGTCGCTTTGTCCAACCGGTTTCCGTTCATAAACTTGAGCTTTTGCCCCGGCAGGGCTCAAGCTACGCTCGCACAGCCGAGAGAGCGATATACACAGATCTTTGGGTACGCTTATTAATAAATAGCATACTATGCACTTGAGATCGACTGATTGGACTCAAGCTTGACTTGCTCAGTGCACAAGCTAATAGTAGACTATTATAGCTGGAGATGACTGACGTATAGCTGCGACAATTAGCTTCCTGCCTGTTAGAGGTTGAGCAGTTGGGCCTATTTACACATGCATAAATATCAATGATGCTCTCTTATAAACTATTAAATGACTTATTACGGTTAAGGCTCTACGGCAGGGTTGTCATTTTTCAGAGCACAAAAAGCTAGATCTAGCTGGAAAGGCACATAGCAATGAGCATTTATACGTTTGTGCTCCATTTTAATTATTTTATGATTTCTATTAGGTAATATAGTACTTTACATACATACAAATTGAAAATAAAGATTAATAACTGAAAATAAATAATAATA